CTCCCCAGCACCAGTAAGAGCCTCCACAGATGCTGACGAACCTGGACATTCTCCTGCAATGGTTATTTAGCTTTAAGGCACTTAAGGCATCAAGAAGACTTTGTTTATCTACAAAATTATTTCCAGACATAAACAACAGAAAAGAAACTGGCAGAGTAACAGATATTAGCCCTCACATGCCTAAGGTGGCTCTTTTCACAAGGACAGTCACCCTCTACTTTTCTGCTAGCAGAAAACCAAATTAAACACTGTCTGCGATCCAAAGCCCAAATGCCATAAAATATTCTGATATAGGTAAATACACCACAATCTGTGTAAACATGGGATCAACCTTTCACACTTGATTTTGAAAATATTGTTTGCAATTCAAAGATATTTTTAATCTTGCTCTATGGAAGAAAAAAGGAAAACGGGAAAGACTCCTCAGAGTTTCACATGCCCATCAGTACCACAATTTTAAAGTAAGATCTTGTATACAAGAGCAAAAAAACCCTTGTGATTGGCGCACTGCAATACCTTTTCACCTTTTTTTTTTTCTGACAATATTTAAAAAGATGTATCTTTTTAATATATAATCTTAAAATAGACTGAGAAGACTTTTGATTCACTGTCTACTAGTAAATCTATATTAAAAAAGTTCTAGCATTTTTTTAAAACAGGAATTTAGAACCTATGTTCAACGATTTTCCCTGGTACTACTGGTCAGCAATTTATATATATGAAAGAAATGTATTAATTGCCTGCACTTTTGGAAAACTAAAAGAAAATCCACCAAAACATTACATTCTATGACTCTTCATGTATATGAACTTAGAATAGAATAGTTCAGTTGGAAGGGACCTACAATGATCATTTAGTTCAACTGCAATCTTGAAAACAGCCTTAAATATACAAAAGAAAGAAATTCCCCAAAACCAACATGCTGCCAAGCATGTAGCTGCTTCACCACTGAACTGGCAAAGCTTCATGGTTCAACTGGGTTACCCTTTGGCCAGTCCTACACAGCTTCCAGAAGTCCTCAACAGATTCAGATGAGTGTTTGCTCAGCATAGCCTGTTCCTAAAATACACTGGCTATGGACAGCTTCCAATGCACCCTATCTGCAACTCCAAAATAATGGTCTGACCTGGGAGGAAAGCGACTCTCAGTTTGCATAGTGGTTTATATCACAGGAATCCACTGCAATACCAGCTTCCAATATTATTACACGAAGTAGCATACATTCCAAAATAAAAATCAACACGTTGGTAATCACAGTAACACTGCTGTTCCCTTGCAAAGCAATTTATAGTGTTTTTATCACCATAAATCTCCTGCAATATTTTAAACCTGTAACAGAAATCTGACTAACCAAAAACACTTGTTAACATCAAAAGCACTTTTGTGATGGAAAACCAAAAGCACACTCCAACCAAAAGCAAGATATTTGTTTAAAAAAAAATATAATTAGGTACACTGTTTTAGAAATGCACCCTGTATTTTGGAAACAGTGGCCAAACTGATATGCCACCATCTTCCCATCTGCTGAGTAACTAAATTTGTCACTTGTAACTGTTTTTATTTACTAATTCAGGAGGTTTCCAAAATGGCAGTCAGAACTGACTTGCATATGATTAATTCTTCATTATTATGTTTTTAATCTAAAATAAGATTATTTTGCAGCATACCTATTGACTCAAATACAATGTCTGAATTTCACAGCCTGGTTAATATACACAGTCTTCATTTCAGCATGGCTCAGCTGAAAACACTTAGCAGCTATCTGAAAACACTTAAAACGAGCGACTGTCACACAAACAACTTACAAATATCTTTGACATGGGAACGTGGAATAAACACTGTAGAAGTTGACACAAGAGAAATAACAGGCACAATATTTAAAATGAGATCTTTATCTATAGTTTCTAGAATGAAGTGACAAATTTACTTTCTTGATTTCATTTTAAAAAATTTAGGAAACAGCCAACTGACCACAGGAAAGAAGGATTACATTTACTGATTAGTATTTCAACTGAGCTTCTCCTGTAATTTTTCCTGATCGCTTCAGTAATATGATGTATATTCTCCAATCATGCCTGCAAAATGAATTAGGTTAAATTACATTTCATAAATTAAAGAAGTTATTTGGATATTCTTACAAACAGACATAGTTTTGAATTGAACTATTCATGACATTGCTTAATACTTACAGCATGCAGCTTCTACAGTATCATCTCTACCTAAGCAATGCATGGAGAAAACAAATTCAAATACAAAATTTTAAAAAAGTGAAGCAAATGCACTTCCCAACAATAAATATAACGAACATCTGTTGCAGAAACTGCTTGGCACTTGTACAGTTTTGTGAAGGATTTTTGTTGTACATAAATATTTTTCTACAATTCCTATTACGCACCACTCAACTCAGACATTTTCTTTAATTATACTCCAAGGGGTCCTTTCATATCCATTAAAGAAGGCAATTCTTGCCTAAAAATACATACATACATCTAAATTTCAAATGTGATTCATCTGTCTTCTGACACATAAAAAAGCAAGGAAATACCTATAATTAATGGACTTATTAGTTCTGAAAAAATGTCTAATAAAACTCTCAATGCTCAACGTATTATTTTTGTTAAATCCTTAAATATGCTTTTTTTTGAAATAAGGAATGGTCTTATGATTCAGCATTTTACTTTCATTTCACATCTCAATAATGAGGACAACAGCACAGCAAAGCCTTTAGGAAAGCAAGAAACTTCCATTTTAACATCGGCAAAACTGACTGAATAAGGCTCCCACTTGGCATCACAGAAAGCACAGGACATCACTTCTTCAAGGACAAAGTAACAACTTTGTGATATTCTCCTTAATTTTTTTTTGTTTTCCACTATTCTTAAGTAAAGCATTTCAAAGACATGCACCGAGTTCTTGATACAGGGCTTTTTTTCCTGAAGATATGCATAAGCTGTGCACATTTAACAAAATTCTTGTATTCAGCATTTCATACAGACTCAAAGTAGCAATCAAGACTTGTTCACTATGACAATACACTGAAAGACTTTTTTTTAAAGAGTATGCAGTAGAAACATACTTAAATGTTATTGTAAGCAGATAAAGACCTACTCCTCTACTGAGATATCAAGCAATTGGGAATGATGTATGAGGAGAAAATGAGGGTACTGCCAATAAAAGAGAGGAAATGCTAACTCTAAATACACAACAGATTCAGTTCAGGCCCAAAAGTCTACCCACATAGGCTCAACTGTAAAATGGACAGTTACACATACAATTTGCTGTAAAGCAAACTAACTGGTATGGTATTCAGTATTCTTATGAAATCAGACAAGGAACATTTCTTAAATGATATTTATAATCAAAATCCTCAATTAACTTTACACCAAATTTGGCCATTTTAAAAAGGAAAAAAGTAGTAAAATAAAAAATACTTAAATCATGTGAAAAAAGCACTTCTGTTGATAGAAATTATAATCTGTATTGCTCTATGAAAAATTAAAAATTACTAAAATGAAACCAGTTGTGTCTCAGGATATTGTAATTTTTAAGTGGAAGGTTTAGGAATACATGCTTTCCTTTTACATTGGACAATAAACTAGAAGAAATTAATAAATTGATATATAAAAATTGATATTACATTTCCTTTAAATATTCATTACTTCTTCTAAATCTGTTTTTAGATGAACAAGACCTAGAACTTGTAGATTATACCCCTGCATCATTTCAGTTTACCTTTTTATGTATCTTGATATACTAAATCCAAAATCCTCCCCACCCACCCCTGCTTAAGCATGGGTTCTTGGAGGAAAGGACCAACAATTTAATAAAGAGTTTTACAGTGCGTGTAACTTCCACAGTTCTCACTCATTCTCCTCCTCTCATACTAAAAACATCACCATACCCCAGTCACATTTACACTTCTCCTTAACACATAGTAACCTTAACTTTTTATCCTCTATTTCTTTTGGCTAAGAAAGGAGGCATAAACAGCAATAAAGCAGTACAGAAAGCACATACAACTATACTGTATGAATAGCAGTTATCCTACAGATCAGTAAGTTTTGAATTGAATTGAATTGGCATTCTTCAGAAAGATCATATTTTAGACAAAGAAGTGCATCTAAGAAAGCAACAAGTTTAAATACAAAGCAGGAACACAGTAAGGTGATGAAACAGTTTTCCTTCTGCTGTAATAAAAAACACCACTCATGGAACAAACAGGAGATTTCATATACAATCTTTAATAGGAAGAGTCCTTTAAATGACTTTTATGAACAGAATGACACAACCAAATTTTAACTTCTTCCTACAACTTCAGAAGATGATGCTTCTCATGAAGCATCAGTAACTTTCAGCACTTCCTCAAAGGTATGTGACATGGAAGGAATTTTTCAGAAACTGAAGAGCAAAAGGTACACTGAATAGAACAATTATGTAATTTACTATGTGATAGCTACAAATTAGACAAAGACATTACTCCTTAAAAGAAGAAAATCAGAACAAGTTAAGGAATTCAGAACAGGAATTGCAACTCTACTCTCACATCACTACATAGCAGTTCAGAAAAAAAGCTTTTACATAAAAGACAACCTATGGCTGCAATTTACTGCTTTAAGCAGTCGCAAAGAATGCAGTATGGGGTAGTGCAAGATTAAAACTAATAGCAAATAAAAAACCAAGCTAAACAAAAAAATCTCTGTCCCAGCAGCTTTTGATAAGAGTAGTTTAAAAACATCTTTTTTCCCTTAAGCAAAATATGGTGAAAGCAGGAGAACTGTTTGTATCCAAGTATTACTTGTCTGTTTTCCAGAACAACTAAGCCCGTATAGAGTGCACTGGACTAAGTTCTTAGGGGCTGGGACTGTTCTTGGTCTGCATACTTACAGCGAAGAGTAACTGAGGTCAGCCCTTAACTAGGATGTCAGGCTAGTAAGTAATACTGAGTCAGTGGTGTGCACACAGTAAATACAAATAAGCAAGATACTGCCATGTTAACATACCTCTTGTACGGAGCGAGCTGCTGGTTTGTCTTGATGATTGGCCAGTATTAAAAACGGCAAAGTACATAACTGTGGGTGCTGGAGAGCAGAATGCAGTTCATTCCTAGCAGTTTCTAGATCATCTTCAGAGGAGGCACTGTCTAATACAAATATTACCCCTTGGGATCCTTGGTAGTAACGACTCCAGTATTTCCTGATATTGTCAGCCCCTTTCAAGACAATAATAAGAACTAATTAAAATAAGAATAATTGAACAGATTTAACACTTGTATCTGAAAATAACCCTTCTACTTAGAACAATCAAAGCACTGGACTAAATTTTCTCTCCTAAATAATCATCACTGAAAGAATAAAAAGAAAAAAGCAACTGTAAATCCAACACACACACAAATGTCAAATTAACATTGTTTAAACATGGAAGGAATTTGACCCAATGCAGTTTCCATCCCCGAAAGTTTCTGCCCCATTACAGAGTACTGGCAGAACTACCATGCTTCCAGTGCCACATAGTCTAATCCTATACCTTCTCACTGAACTATCTGGGTACTAATATGTGAACCTTTGCTCATTCTTCTTTACTTAGCCCTGCAGCTCCTTGCCATAACCCATAGCTTCTGTCATGGCAGTTGCTCATTTCTGAGCATGATAAGGTCTTTCAGTTCATCTCCAAACCATCAGGCAAACACTTCATAACTGGGGAAAAAAGGTGTCAGGAAAGCCTATTAAAGTAATTAGATACTTAATGACGGGAATGGTGATACAATAGTGAGTTGAACAATGAATGAGGAGCTATAGTGAAAACATGCAAAGACATTCATTACAACTACTTTTGCTGTGTCAATGACACTAAGGATTCTGGAAGAGCCCAACAGTAGACATGAGTGACCGTACAGGCTTATGTGCCACAGTAATTTTTAGGACACAGTTCAGCAGCACTCAGCCATCTCAACAGAAGCCAAGCAATAAGGTTATCTACAGAAAGCTTTTGTCTCCCTGGAAAGCAGCATATGTTGTAACACTGGGGTAGGAAAGAAAAATTGTATTTGACAGCTGTCAAACTATCTAAACTATGATTTGGATATGGGCTATTCTTTGTATGTCTGAATCTGGCACTACACTCATGGGCACTAACGCTAGGAAGTGAACCACAGCAGCAATACTCTAGCAGAAAATTTGACATGTCTGCAAGACAGTGATTTGCAGAAATGTGCTGAAGGTATCCTTTACAGACACTTTTCTTACTTTGAGACAGGGAGAATTGAACTTTAATGTAGACACAGATACCAAGTGCTGATAATAATAAAACTCCATTTTTTAGTGAAACAAAACTACACAAAAGTTATGAGCAACATGTAGGCATAAAATGAGAATTTAGTGCAACATAATTACTATAACATTGATATGATACTTAAAATAGTCACTTAATTTATACATTGTGCAACAGAAAAGACAGCCACTAAACACAGGCGAAGAAAGAAATACCTAAAAAGGAATTTACGCCATATACTTTAGGCATCCAACTCAGAGTATTCAAATCTCACCCCAAGGAGTTAGTCTTTTCTGTACCGGCCACACTGGAACCTTAAGCACTCCATTTCTGTATTCTGCACCTAGCACAACTTCGATGGCTAACGAACGTTGTGAAGGCACACTTTTTCCTACACAAAATACTGAAGTCATACCTGAACAGGTTTTTTTCTGCAAGAGACCTAAAGAGTTAATTACTTAAAGGTAAACAGTCATAGGATTTAGTCAAGACCTTGCTTAATTTCTCTATTAATTTAACCAGACTCTAAGTAACAATGCACAAATAGGACAGGTGTTTCATTTATTTTATCATCAACTTCTGAAGATCAACATTACTTATGCAGAAGAGGGATTGCATTGAAAGCTAATTCTATGTTTCTGTGCTACTGGAATATCTACCAACTGTACGTGTAAAGAGTTTTATAGCATCTGTTAGATGTCCCAGTCTTTCCAAACAGCTGCCTATGTCAGAACCAAGTACAGCAGGTTGCCAGAGGGACCCTCTTTACACAGCCACACACAGCAGTGTCACAGGCATCTGAAGTACCACGTTACTTTAAAAACTGGTAGAGAATCATTTTCAATGAACTGAAAGGCCAACAGTATGATCAGTTTTTTGAAGGTCTTTTTTTTTTCCTCGCAACATAACATCTATCTTATTTATCACATGTCGCTGCCAGACCCCGAGTTTTATCTTTGTAAGCGTACTATTTCTAAAGAGAAAAATTGTGTGGTGAACTGCAGAGCATTTGACATCTTGTATCTAGGCACATGGAAGAAAGCAGCTCATGGATCCCTACATGATACACTGGAGCCAGAAAAGCAGTACGCTCATTTGCTGACCTTACGGTCCTGTCTTTTGGTTCAGGTTCTTCAGCTGCTCAAAGGAGCAGCTAACAAACGTTTGTCCACATCAACTGTCCCAAAAGAAACACCACCAAAGTGTAGTAGACCTCTTCTGTCCAGCCATGGCCAGTCATCATGGCACAGTTATAAGAACCAATGAATAATGTCCAGCAAAACTAGGTATTTCCTTCAGGACCTGCCATTAGAATAATGACCTGCTCTGAACTTGCTTACACTTTCAATTCTGGGGAAATCACAGCCCACGGTTTCAGACTAAAAAAATTTGCACTAAGCAGACAAGAAAAAAGACTGAGAAAGTCTGTACCTTGGGGTGCCATTTTAACTCATTTTTCTGGCAAATGCACTTGAAAAATCATTCTTGGCATCAATAAGCTATCAGCAACTGGAAATCACAATTTCTACATGACAAATAAGCTTATATTCTTTTGCCTTAACTTTTTGTATGCAGGGAGCATAACCTGCTCTCAGCTTCTTTCTCCAGAGCATTACGTAGTATGTTGTGGAGTTATCCTGGGCAGGAAACGCTGGCCTGTGAACAGTGATCCAGCTATCACACTTTACGGCATGACAAATTCAGTCTTGAAGATCAAGCAGTTGTTTTTAAAGGTGCAGTTTAGCGCAGACTACCTTATGAATTAATCTTTTAAATCTGTTCCAAAGGTTTCTAAGACAGGGAAATTCAAAGTCTGAGTTCTTCAGCAATCCCAAATTTAATGTGCATCCATTAAATACCCTCAGGCTCTCAGAGATGGCTGAGATAAAACCAGAAACTTAACTAGTACCCAAAATGTCCTATCAAACAGTAGTAACACAAGCATTTAGGTTTGTCAGCCCATTATCATGTGTTTCTCTACCAGCTTTGCAGGCACTTGGCTGTTTCATCAACCACTGCATGCCTAAACTAAGACAGAAAATAAAAAGAAACAGAAGTAACTCGGGTAAAAGTCTCCAAAACATCAGAAAAACGTAACAACAATTAACATTAGACCTAGGGAACACGCTATCTGGAAAGTTCACTAAAATGTGACATTCAGTGTAGCATTTTCTTCAGACACAGGCAAGAACCACAACTCATGCCTAGGCATACGATTTGTTTCCCTCAGCAATGAAACCACAGGAGTGGGTTGAGTCCTGTGATGTGACTAAAACATCCCATTTACAAATAAATTGCAGGGGGGACCCCACACTACAACACAAACACACTATTTGTTAGAAAAGATAGTATTCAGTAAAACATAGGCTTGAATTACTTTATAAAAGGAAAAGAAAAATACCGTCCTTTCAGAGAAACGACTGGGTGCTGTAATTAAAACCCCCAATCATTCAGCATTACTACAGGGCAGGTTTATTCAACTAATTGTTCAAAATTTTAGAAAGTTTTCATTTGTAATTTTTCAAATATCAAATAAATAAATTCCTTTTTATTATCAGCCAAAGGTATAGTGTCCGTATTAACACCATTTGGTGGCTCAGAGGCTGGTGCCATCAGTGGAACTTTGGATTTTTCGATCATGGGGAGGTTTACACGGCACCAGGCCTGCTGGCAGCTGATGGAGATCGGCTATCTCCAAAGGGCAAAAGGATTCTTGCCCATGAGTTGGCGGGACTCATTGAGAG